TTCACTTTTGTTATTTTTATGCTAATTTGCAGTTTTTAATGTGGTTATTTAATTTATTTATGTATTTTTTTTCACTTTTGTATTTTTCAAGAAGAAAATAAATGAGGGAGAGGAGAGTAGCAGTTCTCACGAACTTGCTGGAGCTACTAACCATCTCAGCTAGATATGAGAATTGATAAGGGAAATGACATCGGCATCCGCAAGGATAATTTGAACCGATTGTCATTTCATAGATGAATATTTGATTTAACAGTGTCTGTTGAACTGCGTGGAAGAGTGTGTGAAATGATTGCGTGTATGTTTTAACCCTATCACTGATACGTTCTGAAATCATTTGCAACCCCTGTGTGATACGTATTTTCTGCATTTTCTGAATAATGGTTGTTGCAGTTCTGAATATTTCTTTTTGTGGCACACGTGCATACAATTATCAGGCAACAAAGCAATAAATACATTTTACATTATTAGTCATGAAAAAAAGGATTTATAGTTAGAGTTAGTCGTACGCCTGGCAGCATCGCTTCACTTAGTTCAGGCACCAATAATATCTTTGACAAACATATATATATATATATATATATATATTATATATATATATATATATATATATATTATATATATACATATATATAATATATATTATATATATATATATATATATATATATATATATATATATAATATAATTATACATATATATATATATATATATATATATATATATATATATATATATATATATATATATTATATATATATATATGTAGCCGCTAGAAAAATATAGTTCATGTATTAGAGCTAGTGTAGTCGATCAAAGAATTCACATAAGAGACATTTATCTCCCACGTGGCGGCAGTGAGGAAGGCCTCGGCCACGATGGTGGCGGGGACACCAGGTCAACATATGGCCCATACCCTCCACACGAGTTGACCTGTAAAAGAACCTCTGTATATAGGGAGCGGGCAGGAACTCTTGACATGACCTATGTGCTACGGGATCGGGACTGCCACATGACAAATATCCATCCTCACCGCGGTGAGGGAGGCCTCAGCCACGACGGTGAGAAAGACCTCGTCGGGTGTCACTGGGTCAACATATGGGCCACATCCACCACGAAGGGTTGACCCATCGGTAAGAGTTTTTTGACGAGTTATATGCCTGATGAAAGCGGGTTCACGGCCTAACTATTATCTACACGTGAAGTAGAAGGTGTCTTGTGGCTATGGCCACGTATATTCAAAGGGGCGGGCAGTTCGAGGAGAACCTTTACACCGTCGAGACACCCACAACACTCTATAAACCAGGCCATTACTCTGATAATCTGACTATCCCCGCAATGCGTATGCATCTAACACTTCTTGTAGGGGAGTCTTATCCCGCAACCTAATGCAAGCTATTGTTGTACTGCTATAGATATTGTATAAGCTAGTTTAGTAGATAAGTACGAAGGAATGTCACTTGTTGATAATGTAAGGAAATGTATCATTACACGCAACTTGTAAATGTATCGAATTACAGGTTTGACCGGTACTGAATATACCTTAACGAGTGCTACGCAGTGGTACCAGTCATCCATACCCATAAGCAGTAAAGGGCGTACTCTGGCGGCCACAGTCAAACGCAAAGGGTGCTAGTTGCAGAAAGACGACGGAATCTGGAGCCGCCGACGACGGACTGCCGGAGGAACGCGGCACGAGACCGAGGAGTCCAGCGAAGCGTCACCCTGCAAAACTCTACGGGAATTACTTGTGCAGCTACAAGACGAGTGTTATTTCGCGAAGTTGCTCTACATTGAGCGCGGTGCTGTAGTGATTGCAGCGTTATATATCTAGTGTTATTTCACGAAGTTGCTCTGCACTGAGCGCGGTGCTGTAGTGATTGCAGCGTTATTATTTCGCAAAGTTGCTCTGCATTGAGCGTGGTGCTGTATTGATTGCAGCGTTATTATTTCGCGAAGTTGCTCTGCATTGAGCATGGTGCTGTAGTGTTTGCAGTGTTATTATTTTGCGAAGTTGCTCTGCATTGAGTGCGGTGCTGTAGTGATTGCAGCGTTATTATTACGCAAAGTTGCTCTGCATTGAGCGCGGTGCTGTAGTGATTGCAGCGTTATTATTTCGCGAAGTTGCTCTGCATTGAGCGTGGTGCTGTAGAGATTGCAGCGTTATTATTTCGCGAAATTGCTCTGCATTGAGCGCGGTGCTGTAGTGATTGCAGCGTTATTATTTCGCGAAGTTGCTCTGCATTGAGCGCAGTGCTGTAGTGCTTGCAGCGGTATTATTTCGCGAAGTTCCTCTGCATTGAGCGCGGTGCTGTAGTGATTGCAGCGTTATTATTTTGCGAAGTTGCTCTGCATTGAGCGCGGTGCTGTAGTGATTGCAGCGTTATTTCGCGAAGTTGCTCTGCATTGAGCGCGGTGCTGTAATGATTGCAGCGTTATGTATCCAGTGTTATTTCGCGAAGTTGCTCTGCATTGAGCGCGGTGCTGTAGTGATTGCAGCGTTCTTATTTCGCGAAGTTGCTCTGCATTGAGCACGGTGCTGTAGTGATTGCAGCATTATATATCAAGTGTTATTTCGCGAAGTTGCTCTACATTGAGCGCGGTGCTGTAGTGATTGCAGCGTTATACATCCAGTATCATTTCGCGAAGTTGCTCTGCATTGAGCGCGGTGCTGTAGTGATTGCAGTATTATATATCCAGTATTATTTCGCGAAGTTGGTCTGCATTGAGCGCGGTGCTGTAGTGATTTAAGTATTATATATCCAGTGTTATTTCGCGAAGTTGCTCTACATTGAGGGCGGTGCTGTAGTGATTGCAGCATTATTATATACAGTGTTATTTCGTGAAGTTGTTCTACATTGAGCGCGATGCTGTGGTGATTACAGCGTTATTATATCCAGTGTTATTTCGTGAAGTTGCTCTACATTGAGCGTGGTGCTGTAGTGATTGCAGCATTATTATATACAGTGTTATTTTGCGAAGTCGCTCTACATTGAGCGCGGTGCTGTAGTGATTGCAGCGTTATATATCCAGTGTTACTTCGTGAAGTTGCTCTACATTGAGCGCGGTGCTGTAGTGATTGCAGCATTATTATATCCAGTGTTATTTCGTGAAGTTGCTCTGCATTGAGCGCGGTGCTGTAGTGATTTAAGTATTATATATCCAGTGTTATTTCGCGAAGTTGCTCTACATTGAGCGCGGTGCTGTAGTGATTGCAGCATTATTATATACAGTGTTATTTCGTGAAGTTGTTCTACATTGAGCGCGATGCTGTGGTGATTACAGCGTTATTATATCCAGTGTTATTTCGTGAAGTTGCTCTACATTGAGCGTGGTGCTGTAGTGATTGCAGCATTATTATATACAGTGTTATTTTGCGAAGTCGCTCTACATTGAGCGCGGTGCTGTAGTGATTGCAGCGTTATATATCCAGTGTTACTTCGTGAAGTTGCTCTACATTGAGCGCGGTGCTGTAGTGATTGCAGCATTATTATATCCAGTGTTATTTCGTGAAGTTGCTCTGCATTGAGCGCGGTGCTGTGGTGATTGCAGCGTTACATATCCAGTGTTATTTCGCGAAGTTGCTCTGCATTGAGCGCGGTGTTGTGGTGATTGCAGCGTTATTATATCCAGTGTCATTTCGCGAAGTCGCTCTACATTGAGCGCGGTGCTGTAGTGATTACGGTGTTATAGTGATTTCCGTGTTCCGACGAGTTCACGCGCGACCGCACGTCGGGGGTTACGCCTACCACTGGGAGTAACTAGTGGGCATGAGACGAGAGGATCGACGCGCCTGGAAACACTGCGACACGGATCTACGAGGAGATGAGGGACTCCGCGAACAACGAGGCGGACGGCGGACTGACGGGCGAAGAGGTGTCCCTCACGTCGCTCGGCGCAAGAACGACGATGCCGATGACTGAGCAGAGGGAGGAAGGACCCCAAGTCTGCTCTGTCACCCCTCTTGGAGATGGGGAGTCTCTGGGACCAGGGCCGTCGATTCCCGTGAACGCACAACGGGATAAGAGTAGTTTCCAAGCCTACTCGGGTGCGAACTCGGCTCGACGTGAGACGTCTCCGGGACAATATGAAAACCATGTCATGAACACTTACCTTGTTGTAGAGGAATCGAAAGGACGCCCACAGGCTTACTCAGTCATCAGTTCTGGTAGGGGACCATCCCGAGGGATACCGGGCCTGACAAGCGAGCAAAATGGGAAGGACAGTTCCCAGGTCTACCCCCCGGGTTATTCTGTTACCGATTCTGGCGTAGGAACGCCCATCAACCCGGGAACATCGATCACCATGAATGAACAAAGGGAAAAGGAAATCCCGCGAGCTGCCATCAGCCAGGGTCAGAGAGAGGCACGTGCTGAGCAGGCCAAGGATCGTTCTGATGACCCTTCCACCCTGTTTCATGTGATAAAAAAGTTAAACGCTATCCAGAGAGGACTCACCAAAAAGAGAAACTGTAAAGGCTTTACCTCGGAGTTCTCAAGTGACGACAGCGACACCGAGAAACGAAAGTCACGGCGACGAAGATACGCTACCTCAGATTCTTCGAACGACACCGACAGTTACTCAGGTATAGAACCGGAATCATCGAGTAGTAGCGATGACGAGGGGAGAAAACATAAGCGATCACGAAGACACAGAACTAATAAGACTTCAAGCAACAATATGCGCCTGTCAAAGGAACGAAATCGCAAGTCCAAGAGCCGTTCCAAGTCGATGCAACCATCCGAAGAGATCGACAAGAAAACACTCTTGGAGATGTTCAGAATGATGCAAGTAAAACTTCCCAAGCTAACCGGTGATAGTCCTGAGGAGTACTGTTCCTTCAGAGATACTTAACACCACCACCACCCCACAGACGAAACTGAACCAGTTATTCGATCTTTGTGTGACGAAGGTGAAGGTGCACATCAATCACTGTATGGGAATGCCTGGAAAACGGGGTCTGAAGATGGCTCTAAAAATCCTTGATGCAAAGTTCAGAGAT